CGCGCGCGCGAACCCCCCCCCGCGCGCGCGCGCCCGCGCGAACACGCACGCGCGCGCACGCGCGCGCGCACATGCACACACGCGCGCGCCCGCATGCACAACCGGCACACACGCACACAAACACAAACACACAATCACGCACGCGCGCGGGCACACACTCGCACAAAAGCACGCGCCCGCGCGCCCTCACACGCCCCGCGCGCGCACGCGCGCGCGCGCCCGCGCCCGCGCGCGCGCGTCCGCACACAAGCACACGCACGCACACGCACGCGCGCAAGCACACACGCGCACACACACACACGCAGACACGCACACACACACGCACGCACGCACACACACACATACACACACGTGCACGCGCGCACACGCACGCACACGCACGCACACGTACACACGCACACGCAAAACACGCACGCACACACGCACGCACACCCACACACACACACGCGCACGCGCACACGCACGCGCACACGGACGCGCATGCGCACGCGCGCGCACGCGCACGCGCACGTGCACGCACGAACACACACACACACGCACGCAGACACACACACACGCACACACACGCATACACACGCACACACACACGCACACACACGCACACACACACACACGCACACACACGCACACGCACACACACACGCACACACACGCACACACACACACACGCACACACACACACGCACACACACACACGCACACGCACACACACACACACGCACACGCACACACACACACACACACGCACACACACACGCGCACACGCGCACACACACACACACACACACACACACACACGCGCGCGCGCACGCGCGCGCGCAGACACGTGCACGCGCGCGGACGCACGGACGCTCGGACGCACGCGCGCACGCACGCGCGCGCACGCACGCGCGCACTCACACGCACACAAACGAACAAACATAAACAAACGCACGTGCATATGCACGCACGCACTTCTGTCGCGGCGCGGCAGAAGCGGTCCGCTCGCGCGTCGAGCAGCCCGGGCTACGGCGCTGCGAATTAGAAGAGGGCGGCCGGGGGGTCGTTCTCACGCGGCGGCGCCGCGGGGAGCGCGCGGGGCGGCCAGTCTGCGGGGCAGCCCCTGGCAGCAGCGCGGGGCGGCGCCGCGGGAGCGTCCGGGGGCGGGGCCCAGCAGGCGAAGGGGCGAGGGCCATGGGCGGCAGGCAGACCGGGGCGGCAGGGGGCGGCAGCTGCCGGCGGCGGTAGGCCGAGCAGGCCGGCGCGGCGCAGCGGGCGCTGAGGCAGTCGCCGGGAGGCGAGCCAGCGCGGCAGCGCAGGGCAGGCGGCAGGGGGTCGGAACGCCGCCAGGCAGCCGAACGGCGCAGGCCGGGCAGGGTCGAGGGGGAAGAGGGGGGGCGGAGCAACAAAGCCGCCCAAGGGCAGCCGCGCGCTACGCAGCCGGGGACAGGGCGGCGCCCAGCGTAAATGGAAGGTGCCCTCCAAGGACGCCCCCCTTGCTCCCAAAGACCCATGTCTCTGTTCACCCTGGTTGCCCGCTTGTTCTACGCGCGCAGCGCGTAATTCTCGGGAGTAGACAAAACTTACTCGGCAGAACTGGACTGAATCACAAAAGCCGTTAGATGGTAGTTGCACTCCCAGGGGTGAGGACGTTTCGCTGGCAGTTGAAAGCCAGGGGGTTGAGGATGTCCCGCTGGCGGTTTCACTCCCGGGGGCGAGGACATTTCGCTGGCAACCTTAAGGCGGGGGGTGCGAGGATATTTCGCCGGCAGTTTAAGCCCCGGGAGTGATGGCACTTCTCCGGCAGTTTAACCGAAGGGCGCGAGGATATTTCGCCGGCAGGCGCGCGTCGAGGAGTGAGGATATTTCGCTGGCGGTCTTAGATCTTAGGCCAGCGGGTTGAATCTTTTCAGCTGGCAGTTTCAAGCGATGGGGCGCTAGGATATTTCGCTGACAATTTCAGGCCAGGGGGTGGGGGATATTTCCCTGGGGGTCTCCGGCCGGGCGGGCGAGGATATTAGCTGGCAGTTCTAGGCCATGGGCGGCGAAGGGCAGTTTCAAACGAGGCGTGCGAGGATATTTCGTTGGCAGTCTGAGGCCAGGGGCTGAGGACATTTTGCTGGCAATTTTAAGCCAGGGGCGGTGAAGGCACTTCGCTGGCAGTTTTAAGCAAGGAGTGCGAGGACATTTCACTTGCAGTTTTCACTCAGAGGGGGTGAGGATATTTCGGTGGCAGTTGAAGCCATAGGGCAAGGATGCTCAGCGGGAAATTTGTAGCGAGGGGAATGATCTGTCGCTGGCAGTTTCAAGGCCGGGACTGGATGATGTTTCGCTGGCAGTTTTAAGCAAGGGGTACAGGGGTATTTGGCCGGCAGTTTTAAGCGAGGGATGTGCGTATATTTCGCCGGCAGTTCTACGCCAGGGGTGGAGAATATTTCGCTGGCGGTTTCAAACGATGGGGTGCGAGGTATTTCGCTGGCAATTTCAATCGAAGGGTGTGAGGATATTTCGCTGGCAGCTTTAGGCCGCGGGGGTGAGGATATTTCGAATAGAGATGTGGGGGCATTTCGCTGGCGGTGATATGCCATGGCGGCGAGGGTATTTCGCCGGCAGTTTCATGGGATGGGACTGCGGGCATTTCGCGCGTCAGGGGGCTGATGGTATTTCGCTGGCGGTTTAAAATCCGGGGGCGCGCATATTTCGCTGGAGATTCAAATTTAGGGGGTGGGATATTCGCTGGCAGTTTGACGCCAGGGGCGGTGAGGATATTTAGCTGGCACATTTAAGCGTGGGGTGTAAGGATATGCCGCTGGCAATTTGCTGGGCGGCATGGGGGCTTCCGATGCGTAGCTACGCAGCACGACGTGCCACGCGCGAAACGACGGGGGGGGGGGGGAGGGGGGGGGCGGGAAACGAAGACGAAGAGGAGGTGGCGAACGAGGGGGGGTTCGGAGGCATGGACTGAGATGGGGCGTGGTCGGTGCGGGCATATACGCGCCACGCGATGCAGCGTTGGGTCTCGCCCTACCTGGCCCGGCCGAAGGCTACGCGTGCAGCGCGGTGCTGCGCCCGCATCTACGTTCGCGCCCTGGCGTGGGGCTGGCGGGGGGCAGAGGGCGAGCTGTCTGGTGTTTCACTACGCGCGTCTCTTCGCCCCTTTTCCTGTCAACTCTGATGGGCTGGGTTTGTGAACGGGCCGGCGGGGATATATATTTTTTAGTCACGGGCGGACGCGAACTCGCAGTCGCCGACAGGGTAGTCCGGGGCGCGGGCCAGCCTAATTAAGCTACCGCGACAGGCGCGCGACGGCCGGGCCAGCACTCAGAGGCGGCTGCCGGGGGGCTCCGGCTGAGGGAAGCTGGCGGGGAAGTCGGAATGCGCCTAGGGTAGAAGTGCACCTTGCAAGCCGGAGGCAGAATGACGCCACTCGGAATTAAGCCCTGCACGCCAGGGAAGCATGGTCGGCTCTGTAACTGCGAACGCGCGACACCTAGCGAGGCGTTCCCCCTGCCAGGGACCCAGGGAGCGGTGTGCTACCAGGGGTTGAGGGCTGATGGACACGCACGGGCGCAGGTACCCAGGACAGAAGCCAGGTACAGGTAGACCGCGTCGCCACAGGGCGCCAAAGGTCAGAGCCGCAGCTGCGGCGGGTGCACGCCAGATAGGCGGGGACGGGGCGCTGGTGGGGATACTTTTTAGATTAGCGGCCCGCAAGGAAAAGCCCACAGGGCGTAAGGATCGAGGCTGGGGCACAGCGCAAGATAATTAGCGCGAGAACGCGCGGAGTGCACATGCAGCGAGGAGTCGCCCTGACGGCGCCAACTCGGGAAGAAACAGACGCAAGCCGCCGGCCGCGAGGCACGCACAGCCTACACCGGTGCAGTAGCAGAGGCCAGACCAGCCGAAGGCGGCGGGAGCGGCGGACGGAAGCGCGAACAAGCGAGGAGCCGCCCAAACGGCGCCCGCAAGCAGCGACCACTTGCCAACCACAGCACGCACGGGGCCTGTGCCCATGCAGCCGCGACGGCCAATTCAGCTGTAGGCAGCAGGGGAACTACCTACAGGCAGAGCGAACGGAGCGAGAGGCGGCGAGACAGGCAGAAGGAACCCTCACTCACGGAGCACCCGGTGCTCAACTATTACCACAAGAGCGCAACTGGAGAACTCCATCGAAAAGAGATGGAAGGTGCCAGGGGCGGATAACCGACACGCATTGTAGAACCACCATAGGGTACACTGACTGACGAGCGTGCCTTGCTCAGGTCCCAACCCTGATACCACAGCCTGTGTCAAAGTGGCGCGCCGTGGCCCGCTGCTAGCTGGTAGGGATACGCGAAGCGTGGGGAATTGTTCAGCCCGAATCGTTTCTGACAATTCCGAGGCCCGGCGAGGGCCTCCGGACACCGCAAATAGCGAAACAACTTCCGTCGTGACTAGAGGCCTCCCAAATGGAGTCCTAGCCGATGGGGTCGGAGGATCGCGCTGCATCACCGATGTTTCGCCAATGCATTGGTGATGCGTCGGCGCTGTCGGCGATGCATCGGCGACGTCGGCGCGAAGAAAATCAGGCTCAGCTGCATCGCCGGCGGTCCATCGACCCCGTCTGCTCGGACACCATCTGGGAGGCCTAGAATCGTTCGGATTTGAAGTCGGCCAGGGGCTTTGAACTGGATGGTCCCCGAGAAAATCTGTCAGGCAGGGGGGCTAAGATGGACTACGTGCAAATCCGCTCAACATCCCTCCCCTAGCTCTTCCCGGGGTCAATTTGGGAGGCCTACAGAAATGATGCTCCACGACTTTTGTGGCGCCCCCCGCGGCCACGGCTCCCGCGGAAGCCCTCCGCCGTCGGCAGCCGACCGCGGCCCTCCATGCCCTCCTTGGACCCGGCACGCGCCTCATCGCCGTCGCCCCGAAGCCTCCAGAAGCCCTCCGACGCCGAGGGCCTTCGGGTGCGCTCAAAACCCTCCGCGCCTGGCCTTCGAAGGCCCTCCTTCCTGGGGCGGGACCCCCGCGGCCACGGCTCCTGGCGGTCCCAGGGCAGCGGCGCCCCAGGGGCCGCGGCGGCGTGGGCGTCGCCGCCGCGCCCGGCGGCCTGCCTGTGCGCGCGGGCAGGGCCGCACGCTGGTGGGCGGCCAGCGGCAACGGCGGGAGGGGGCGGTTTTTGCTCCCCTGATGCAGCCGCGGTGCTACCATGAGGAACGCTGAGCCCAGGAACGCTGGCTACGGCCAGCCTCGGTTTCGAGCGGACACCCCGACGTAGATTAAGGACCGGCCCGAGAGCCGGAACCCCTCCTGACCCCGAAGTGATCCTTCTTCCAACGTGCTGGCGGTCGCGTTTCGCGAGAAGGTTCTACACCAGTGGCGCTTCCCTACAACAGTTTCCCGATTCGGGTCTCAGTTTCGACGTGGACTGCGGGGCCCGAGCCTCAGCCAAACCTCTACGTCGGCCGAGGCTCCTCGACGACAGCGGTGACCCCCCTCATCACCTGCAACATGGGCCTGGACTTTCGAAACAAGGATAACAACCAACTGTCATAGCCAGCGCTTCGCCACGGAAAACGGTCGTTTTTTCTGATCGCGTTTCGCACGGAAGGACCACAGAAAAGCCCCACAGGGGGGACGGGGCGCTCCAGGACGTCTGGTCTGACGGCCGTTTCGCACGAAACGTCCTCACAGTGTATTCAGGAAACGCACTATCGCCATAATGGTGGCTACATGTTTGGTCCAAAGAGCCTCGGTCCCAAGTGAAACACGCACACCACGGTGCACATGGCCGTATTTTCGCCGCAATGTTGGCTGCATGTTAGGTCCTGACGGCCACGATTTATGTTGTATCAACATACGCTACAATACACATGCCCGTGCTCAAATCCCTGGCTGGCTGGTCTCATGTGTGTCCCGCCTCTTCCCCTTTGCGGCGATCGGGGCGTGCTGCACTGGAAACATAGCTGCTTCATTTCCCGTGACGGCCATTCCCGCACCAGCAACCGCCGACTCCTCAAAGCACGAACAAATACCAATATCGATACCATTCCCACTTTTTCACCTGCTCGGGCCTCATGGAAGGCCCCCGTCGCCACGGCCGGATTCGCCGCGAAATTCAGATCCGAATGCACCCCGGGAGAAGTCTGGGGAGCACGTAGTAGTAGTAGTAGTAGTAGTAGTAGTAGTAGTCGTCGTCGTCGTCGTCGTCGTCGTCGTCGTCGTCGTCGTCGTAGTAGTAGTAGTAGTAGT